TTACTGCATTGTTGGTGGGAGTGTAAACTTGTTCAACCACTTTGGAAAGCAGTCTGGAGGTTCCTCAAAAGACTCCACATAGAGCTTCCCTATGACCCATTTTCAGGTTTTCACCCTCATGTCTGTGCTGAGGTTCAACTTAGTAGAAGGTGCATCCAAGGCCTTCACTTCCCATCTCATCCTAACCTTTTCTTCACCCTTATCACACTCACAGTGCTGAAATGACCATTTTCTTTGTTCAGTTCTACTCAATATGCTAAAGTGTTGTTCCTTTTCTCTAAAACAACAGTGTGTATATTCATGAAGGAGGCATTCAGGCAAGACTTACTCAAGTTACTTAGAATGTAGATTGAGACCAGTACAGAACTGGTTGTGTTGTGTATTTACCTGTTGCATTTACTCATTGTACTCCCCAGTGATTGCAAATGGAAGAACTACGCAATAAGCATTAGAATTTCATTTTGCATATGAAATCAATAGCAATAAGTTTCAGTAAAATTAAGATATGGACCTCATATGTGAAATACTTGTTTTTCCAAAAAGAATTTGATTCTTTACAAAGAGTAACATACAGGAAAACACCATACAGTGGTGAAAATACTACCTAAAAGAAATGTGAATAAGCAATATCATCTAATTTCAAGTCTTCCAATCACCTAACTATGCCATGCTTTTCTTAAAATACTCTGTTATTTGGGATTCAAATTTCCTTGTACCCATGATGGCCAAAAGAAAGAATTCTGATAAATCATAATATTTTACAAACATTAATCAAATCTAATTGTTATAATGAGGCTTAGGAGTTTTGATATTGAGATGTGACAAGTAATATTTGGCATGAATCATAATATGATTATATATCCACATCAATGTATCAACATATATAATCAGATATATAGATACATCTATCTATATAACTAATTTTTAATATATTAATGATTATAATTTGTAACTTTTTAATACTATCACTATAATAAAAGTAATTGATGTTCTTGTTTTTAGTCTACTGTGACCCATAACACCAAGGAAATAACAGAAAGAGAATTCTGTAAAGCAATTTTATAGGGCACATCACTCATAGCATTAAGACCTGGGTGTAGAGTTCTTTATTATTCTTTTTCATTTCAATACAAATTCATAATATGTGAACGAATACAAGGATTTCATTTCATGCAGTCAATTCTATGGGTATCATATCAATGTAGGTTTGTTCAGAATAAATTCAAAATAAATAGGCATCTATAAGAATCAGAGGTACAGCTAGTGTACATTGTTGTTAATTAAAAGCTAATCAATTAGTGACGTTGTAGCTACACCCTTACCCAAGCCCAAATCCAATGCTCTATCCTTTGCATTGTGAAAGTAACTTCTTGCCTAGTGGAGTTTCCTAAACCTGTAATCCCAGCACAAGGGAGGCCGAGGCAGCAGCTAAAACAGGAAAAAGTAAAACATCCTTATTTTTTACAGTATAGGTGTTTATACAATAGCACCTGCACCTGTTATACACATAAATGGACTAAACGTCCATAAAAAGAGTAATGACTATTGATTGTTTTATCAATAGCACCTACGCATAATACCATATATTGTAAATGATATATATTACATATATTTTATAATGCTATATATAGTATGTGATATTATATACTGTAATATATAACACATAGTATGTATATTATATACAGTATATGATGTTACATATTATTATATGTTTTACATATTATATATAATATGATACATGATACATACACATGATACACATGATACATATTTAATTTGAGTACTTTTGACAGAGGAAGTAATTTCATCAACCTTAAATTTAAGAGTTCTTAATTTAAGATTGTAAAATTATCATGGAACTTTGTCCCCTATGAGATTTCAGATAGGAATATTTCCAAAAGGTACATATAAAGGCCTAAAAGAATTTTGAGGTGTCCAGAACTAGATCTACGAGATCCATTTAGCCTCAAAATCACCTAGACATGGTATCTGGGCCCTAAGTTGTGCCATTTCTTGTTTTCCAGTCCCCGGAATAGCTCAGTCTCAATCCCCTGTCAGCAAATTCCCACAGCTGGCTGAATGACCTTGAGCTCTCTGCCAGCCAGCCTAGCCAGCCTAGGGCTCTATCCTCTATTTGTTTTTAAAGTAATGCTCAGACAATGGAGCTTGCTCTCAGCAAGGAGGGCAATGTTGTTCTCACGTGGCTCATGTCAAATACTCTCCTTCTCTATGTTCCATGGCCTCCCATGGCTGCCCTTCTCCCCTTTGTGACCAAGTGTCCCTTGACTTCATGAATCACAATTATTTCTGAGTCATGGTTATTCCTTGTTTTCAAGACCCCAAAATACCTCAGTCTTGAACAGTAGGCTCTGTTTCAAGATGGTGTCTCACTATAGCTCTATGAGGTAGAGGGAGGAAAAGGATATCATTCTTGTCTGTTATGTCAGTGTGATGACTGCCCCCATGAAATCCCTGCATGGGTTTTAAGGCTGGTGGAAGGGATGAGCTTTTCTCATGGATAAGTCTCGTGGCTGACTCTGCTGAAGGAGCTAAGATTTGTTGAAGGTTTTTGCTTTCTTTCTCTCCCCATGACGTTGAAGATGGAGCTACACACCTTCCCAATTACTCTGTTGCTTTTTTTTTTCCTCATGCTTTTCAAGTGTCCTTGCTTTTCTTTTTCTTTCATGGTTTCATGCTCTTCCTCGCCTATTCTCATTCAATCCTAGTCTCTCTTTTGTTAGCCTACCTCTTGTCATTCATGACAAAAGGAGAAAGCTACATTGCCATTTTCCCCTGCCTCTCCATTATTTGTTCTTATGTGTGATCGCGTTAATTTTGTAACTATTTCTATTCCATATAAATCCTTCCCTTCTTTAAAGAGTACAATAAATTTTAAGATTCTCAGGAAAATATTGCTATTGTGAAATATACTTCACAAACGTAAGGATAATGGTATTGTCCCAATGTAGAAGGAATAATAATCCTGAGCTCTGTAACATTCATATTAATATTTATATCATTATATAATATTTATATCACTATAGTGATTAAAGACCATTTTATTAGCTCCTATTACTATAATCATTAAAAAGAATCTATGATTTCCAAAATCATAGCAAGTGAAATGGTTTTAATAGTAGAAAAATCAAGCAGGGATTGGTGGCTTATGCCTATAATCCTGTCTATCCAGGAAGCTAAGTTCTGAAGATCACAGTTCAAGTCCAAGTTAGAAAGTCCATGAGACTCTTATTTGCAATTCCACTTAACCACCAAAAAGCCAGAAGTGGAGCTGTGGCTCAAGTGGTAGAGGGCTAGCCTTGAGCACAAAAGCTCAGGGACAGGGCCCATGCCCTAAGTTCAAGGTATGTCACCAAGAAGAAAGAAAGAAAAGGGAAAATAGAGAAGAAAATCAAACTGGGTGCCAGTGACTTACACCATGTAATCCTAGCTATTCAAGATGCTCTGATCTGAGTATTGAAATTAGAAGCCAATCAGGGCAGATAGGTCCATGAGACTCCTATTTCTAAATAATCAGCAAAATACTGGACTGTAGGTATGTCTTCACTAATAGTACAGCACCCATGAGTGAGAAAGCCAAGCAAAAGCAGACAGTTTTGAGTTCAAGCCCTGGTACCAGCACAAAACAATGTAGAAAAATCAGACATAAGTTTCATTATATTAGGCAACTACATGTATATATTTTGTATGTATGTAATTACATGTGTGTATATCACATAGCATACACAACATTTTGAGGGACAAAACATATTATATCCTTAGTAATTGAGTTAAATCCTCATTGCATATAGCAGAATAGTAGGTAACTTACTTGAAGTTCAAATATGCTTTAGAGTAAAACAATCACCAGAAAAATAAGCAGTTCAATAGATACATTCACACACAACCATATTAGGGGACACTCATGCAAAGGAATTAGATGGAGGAGAGTTCAAGACAACTTTTTAATTTTTCCATAATCTTGTCTGTTATTTGTTTATAGTTTCTACAAATATGCACCTAAAATCTACAATAAATTTAACATACATCTAAAAGAAAAAAAAGTGCCCATACTTTTAAGGCACAGACAGCACAAAATGCAAGAAAGAAAATTCTTAGAGCTTACAGGATCAGAGTATGTGCTTAAGATATATGTGAAATAAAATTTAAACTGAGGCACAGTACACATGCAAAAAAGTGCACATCACAAGGGACAGCTTCCTGAAACATCACCATATTGACATACCCTGCACCAGGTCAAAAAGCAACCTTTAGGGTGGCTTCACAGTGTCCTTACTTACGCCAGCTCTCCTTTTCAAAGGAAAATATCATCCTTATGTCTAATACCCTTAGTTTAGCCTGTTTCTGGGCTTCATATAAGTGAATGTATATACTTCTTTGTCTCTTTCATTTATCATGCAGAGTATTTATTACAAATGTTCCTTTACTTTCATGTTGATGGACCCGGTTTCTGACTAGTAGGAGTCTGTTACAATTCACACCAGCTGCCAAATTTTCTGGTAAACATATGCATGAACCTCAAGTGGACAAAAAGTTGACAATATTGGAACCAAAAATGGGAGAGAAGAACATTAAACATGAATGAATTCCAAATGATTCTCACAGGAGAATTTTGAGATAAGCAAATCCCCACAGACCATTAATGGACATAGATCATTGTTGGTCAGGGACTTAAAATTATTAAATATTAAACTACAGACCTACTGAGCCAACAATTGTGTCACAATGCTGGTAGATTTTCATTCAGAAGAAAGATGCCCATGAATTAAGAATAAATGCAGGGAAATGTGAAGTATTGTGTGTTTTGAATTTCATCACAGAGTCATTTCTTACCTAAGCCTAATTTTCACCTTGCAAAAGAGAAGAATCCGATTCACATGAAAGTATTTTCTGTGGACAGACATCTGGATTCATTTGGAGAGTTCTTCATCTGTTTTGGTGTTCTTATCTTGGCTAGGGGATTCCTGACTGCTCAGAAAACGCTATTTGGAAATTTTATTAGCAGACTTATCCTTTCCTTTAAACAAGAGCCTAATAACGCTATCTCGTATCTGCTTGGTTTTCACCCCGTACACAATAGGGTTCATGGTGGGAGGCGTGAGCAGGTAGAGATTGGCCATGATGATGTGTATGTGTGGAGGAATGGTGTGTCCCCCGAAGCGGTGTGTGAAAAAGGTGAAGAAAGCTGGGACGTAGGTGATCACGATGGCACAGATGTGGGCTGTGCAGGTGCTGAAGGCCTTCTGTCGAGCGTCTGCTGAGGACAGACTCACAACTGCCCGAAGAATCATGGTGTAGGAGCCTGTGATGCACAGGATGTCAAAACCCCCAATCAGGAGGGCCACCATCAAGCCATAGATGGCGTTGACCCGAACATTCCCACAGGATATCTTGGCGACAGACATGTGGTCACAGTAGGTGTGGGGGATTATATTACCCCTGCAGTATGGCAGGCGCTTGGTGAGGAACGTGAAGGGGATGACAAGCAGGACACCCCGAAGAAAAGTGAGGAGCCCAGCTTTGGCAATGACTGCGTTGGTGAGGATGGTGGCATAGCGCAGGGGGTAGCAGATGGCCACGTAGCGGTCCAGGGCCATGAGCATGAGCACCCCGGACTCCATCCCTGTGAAGGTGTGCACAAAGAACATCTGGGCCAGGCAGGCCTTAAAATCAATCTCCTTCAGGTTGAACCACAATATGCAGAGAGTGTTGGGAAGAGTGCTGGTGCACATGAGCACGTCGGTGAAGGAAAGGAGGGCTAGGAAGATGTACATGGGTCTGTGCAAGGCCTCTTCTGAATAGATGAGATACATAAGGCCGAAGTTCCCTGTGAGAGCAATGCAGTACATGGTACTCAGGGGAAAGGAGATCCACAGATGGACCTCTTCCAGACCGGGGATGCCATTTAGGATGAATGAAAGTGGTGTTAGGCTGGTGCCATTTAGACGTGACATGTTGACTCTTGGTAGGTCATGATAGAGTAGTACTGAATTGTCTCTGTAAATAGGAAAAGCAAAAAGGGTTAGATACAGACAAACAGTATATTCATTAAAATAGTAGATACTTTTTCTTTCTTCTGTAACTGTGATTCTCTGTGCTCTCATAGGTTTTATATGTGATGCACCTCATTTTGGGTCCATGACGTAAACTAGGTGAGTCTGGCCAGTGTGTCCAGTTACTGTTTTCTGTTATCATGTCCATTCTCCTGGCTGAAATTGGCCTTTAAGCCAACAACTGCAGTAATTAAATATTTGGTATTTTCTAAGACTCTCCTCATCCTAGTCAGAGAGCCTATTCTTTTGAGATATTAATGAAAAATTGTTAGTTATTAAGTATTAACTATTAATTATTCTTATGAGCTTTTCTTTCAGTGTTGATCAGTCTTATCGAATGCACATTCTGAAAAGGGTTTCAAAGATCAATTTTTAGCACATCTAAAGTAACCCCTTTTATTTCACAACCAACTTGAGTGCCCCCAAATGCAAACCATACCCTGTGCCAAAAGCTTCTTTTCATGGAAATCATACAATGTTCTTAAAACTTAAAAATAATAATAAAAAAACTTCTGTATTTTTAGAACTTGATAAGTATATATGTATACATATTTGCTGGAGATTTACTAGAAATGCAAAACTCATCAAATACCCATGTTTTTCTAGATTAAGTCTAATCTAATGGATACCAGAGTCTAGTTTATGACCATAAGGATGCCTATCAGCTAGAATCAAATCAACAGAGAAGAGAATACACCCACATCACAACTTCAGAGAGCCTTTAAATCAAGGATTTCTCTAGCCCTGTAATCAAAAATAAGTTTTTGTCAGATAATGTGGATAGTTTATACATTTTTAAAGTCTATAGAAAACTGGGGAAAGGATTAACAAAATACTTATGAGTACTAAGGAGGAGATTGACAGATTTGAATGCATGTTTTGAAGAGAAACACCAAACTGGTGACCATAGGCTGGATCCATACAGGGAGCATGAGTGTGAAGAAGTGGGCTATGGTGAGCTAGAATGTGCTGATTAAACACAGCGAAAGAAAGGAACAGGTGTGGTGACCATGAAAGAGTCATACATTGGAGGACATTAGAGAAAATGAGACTATTTCAAAGTGATGAAGGTGGAAAGTTCCATTACTTCACACACATTTTGAGGAGATTCTCACATCATTCCAATAGGTGCATTTACTGGAACTTTAAAGTTTATGAAAATAGCTCTCCTTTCATCGCAATGCCTTTTATTTAATTTTGTACCCTCATTTTTTTTTTCAAAAGATGAAAGCTACATGGATAGATCCTAGGGATGCGTTTAATTGACAATTTATACAAACAACATGACTAAAGTGTCAAATATAGAGAATTGCTTGAAAAAAAAAGAGAGTTCTTTGGAAAAAAGCAAGGGAATTCAGTAAACATCAACAAAAATGTGTGACTAAGTTGTTATTCTTTCTTTCACTCACTACAGAAAAACTCCATCTCTGGGAATACCTCTTTTTAAAATGCTGCAAGAGTTATGTTTTATTATTATTTTTAGAAGCTTAAAACTGAGTGTTTCATTCAAGGTAGAAATGGAGCATGCAAGTAGAAGGAGCACTGCAGTAAGAGCACTGTGCTTTTTTCAGACTTCTAAGAGATAACTATCAGCAATTTGCTATATTAAACAGCCCCCTTCCTCAGCTGCCAGAATCCACACTCATTTCTTAACTAACGAGAATGCAACTCCAATTCAGGAATCTCCTTACCATAAAAACATTGGAGTCCTTCAGAAAAAGGAACAAACCCTGAATGCATGCATAGATTAAGTCATGGTCATATTGATGTGAGGATTGTGCATCAGCAGGAGCAATCCAGGACCTCTACTGGGATCTTGAGAGGTGAATGGGGGAAGGAACATTTCCATTCTCTGTAAGAGTGTATGCTTAGAGCATGCGTGTGTGTGTGTGTGTGTGTGTGTGTGATATATTTTGAAGTGGAAGGAAAATTGGTGTTACTGTCTCTTTCTACTATAATCTCAGAGGAGAAGTGTATCTCTTCCTCTTTGTGTGTGTGTGTGTGTGTGTGTGTGTGTGTGTGTTTGTCAGGGGATTGTGTGTGTATTTATATGAAACAGATATATCTGTGCTCAAAGGACACTGGCTGAGCTACTGGGAATCATCTTAGGAACTATTTTGTTCCTATTTATGATGTAGAACTCCTTGGAGCATAATCTTGTATAGGTACAACAGGGACTGCATAGATAAGAAATCACTTAAATATCCAGTATATACATTTTGCAGAAAGACAGACCTTTCTACTGTTTCACAAAATTTAACAGAACACACAAAAAAGAGTCCTGAAAAATATTTTTTGAAAAGATTAAATAATTCTGATGTGCAACCATTAAGTTATATATACATATAAATTATATTTAATACAATTAAATTATACTAATACATTATAATTATATGTAATTTGCTATTAAATGTGATTAAAATAATTAAGTGTAATGTATAATCAAATGCAATTTTAGATTGTAAATTTATATGGTGCTATACTTAGTATCTTTGATAAATTTGCTTTTGAATTAAAACAGTTTTATGTAGATTATTTGGAATTATTTAGATATACATTCTTCACAATATCTCTGGAAAATGAACATTTTCTTTGTTTCATATTTTTAAGGCTTTTCCTGCCTTATTGCTATACTCCCATGGAGTATTTACCAAGAGAACTGATAATTTATCTTTATTCAATGTTGGTGAGTAAATATAGTAATAATAAACATTGTTTAAAAATAAACATTGTTACAGCTGTCATATGAAGGAATGGATTTAGTATGTAATGCAGAAGTGCAATAATGTGTACTAAAATATAAAATAAAGCATCCTCTGGGGTTTTAAAACAAATATAACCTTTACCATCAGTAAAGTTGCATGTCTTAGAATTTTTTTTTTACTATTGATAAATACTGTTTAGCAGGTGATCTCATGTAATCTACTCATAAACATGACCAAAGTAATAAAAATTACTACTCCTTGATTGCCAGTATTAAACTTATACTTTTAAAGTACTTTTATTATACTTTTCAGCTAATGTCATAATAATTCATACATAGTATCTCACATAACTTTTATTTCAAAATTATACACTCATATAATTATCTGAATCTTGTGAATGAGTAATAACAGTTCAAGATTAGTCAGACTGGGTAAATCTTAGGGCATTAAGATTAAACTTTAATAATAATATGTTAATAGAGCTGTTTGTATGGTAGAAGATGACAGATGACAACAATATCATTGTTAAATCCGATCATAAGGCTAACACCTGAATAAAACACAATAAATAATTTATTGAATGTGAGTAATAGCTTCTAAATAATTCTCTCATCTTCTCCATTACAAACTGTAAAGAGAGCAGAGAGAAGGAAGCCATGACCCTTGGGAAATTTAAGAATAATGTAAGATAAATGGCATTGGAAGAAAATTCTAATCATATTCAGAGAAAAATATAGTTAGGAATGAGAGGGAAGCAGAAAGAAGAGAAGAGAGACTATAAAAGACACTTCATTGGGTATTCTGTCTCGTATCCTAAATAATTAGTGTTCATCAGTGAGCTTAGTGAAAATGGCTCAATATGTCTACATCAACCTTGCATACTTTTACTAAATCACAAGTTAAACTCAAAGTCAGATTTTAATACAGTGAAACCACACTTGCCTTCACACTACAAGACATTAATACAGCCGAGGAAAGGTAGAGGAAGGAAATGACAAGTCGAATCAAATGTAGATGTATCTGACTTGTGGGGTGTGCAAAGATAAAGAACATGGAAGAGTCAGGTACTGATGGCTCATGCCTGTAATACTAACTCAAGAAGCTGAGATCTGAGGATCCATGTTCAAAGCCATACCAGGCAAGAAAGCCCACAAGATTCTTATCTCCGATTAACCTGCAAACAGCCAGAAGTGTAGGTGTGACTCAAGTAGCAAAGTAAAAAAGCTAAGAGACAATGTGCAAGTCCTGAGTTCAAGCCCACAAACAAATAAACAAGAACATATAAGAACAAAGCATGTAGAGTTTGGCAATACTGTCAAAGGCTATCCACAAATTCAATGCTATACCTATCAATATTCCAACCTCATTTTTCAATGAAATAGAAGAAGCAACTCAAAAATTCATATGGAGCAATAAAAGACCCCAGATAGCAAAAACAATCCTTAGCAGAATGAACAGTGCTGGAGGAATACCAATACCAAATTTCAAACTCTACTACAAAGCCATACTAATCAAAACAGCTTGGTACTAGCACAAGAAGAGACCTGAGGACCAATGGAATAGAACTGAAGACCCAGAAATGAACCCACAGACCTATGGCCACTTAATCTTCAATAAGGGAGCTAAAAAAAATAGAATGGAAGGAAGACAGTCTCTTCAGTAAATGGTGCTGGCAAAATTGGTTAAGTACCTGTAGAAAACTAAAGCTAGATTCTTTTTTGTGTGTGTGTGTGGGGGGGGGGGGGTCCAGTTGTGGGGCCTGAACTCTGGGCCTGAGCTCTGTCCCTCAGCTCTTCAGCTCAAGGCTAGCGCAATACCACTTGAGCCACAGCGCCACTTCTGGCTTTTTTCTTTTTGCTTATGTGGTGCTGAGGAATCGAACCCAGGGCCTCAGGCATGCAAGGCAAGCGCTCTACCACTGAGCCACTTTCCCAGCCCCTGAAATTTTCTTAATAGAGACCCAGAAGCACAACAAATCAAAGAAAGGTTGGACAAATGGGATTGCATGAGACTGCAGAGCTTCTGCATGGCAAAGGACATAGCTAGTAAGATCAATAGAAAGCCTACAGATTGGAAGAAGGCATTCACTAGTCATACAACAGACAAGGGCCTCATATTTAAAATATACTTAGAACTCAAAAATTAAATCCCCCCAAAACCCTCAAAGAAATAACCACCCCATTAATAAGTGGGCTA